GTAACCAATGTTTTGATATATCGAGTAACATACCAACGTAACCAATGTTTTGATATATCGAGTAACCTACCAACGTAAATAAATGTTTTGATATATCGAGTAACCTACCAACGTAACCAATGTTTTGATATATCGAGTAACCTACCAACGTAACAAATGTTTTGATATATCGAATAACCTATCAACGTAACCAATGTTTTGATATATCGAGTAACCTACCAACGTAAATGTTTGATATATCGATTAACCCATGTTTTGATATATCGAGTAACCCAATCAAACGTAACCAATGTTTTGATATATCGAGTAACCCATCAACGTAACCAATGTTTTAATATATCGAGTAACCCACCAACCTACCAACGTAACTCAATGTTTGATATATCGATAACTACCAACGTAACTAATGTTTTGATATGTCGATAACCTACCAACGTTTTGATATTATATCGAGTAACCCACCAACGTAACAAATGTTTTGATATATCGAGTAAACTCATCAACGTAAATCAATGTTTTGATATATCGAGTAACCTACCAACGTAACCAATGTTTTGATATATCGAGTAACCTACATGGGCTGCAACCCAAGTTTTGATATATCGAGTAACTTACCAACGTAACCAATGTTTTGATATATCGAGTAACCTACCAACGTAAACTTTCAATGTTTTGATATATCGAGTAACCTACCAACGTAACCAATGTTTTGATATATCGAGTAACCTACCAACGTAACCAATGTTTTGATATATCGAGTAACCTACCAACGTAACCAATGTTTTGATATATCGAGTAACCTACCAACGTAACCAATGTTTTGATATATCGAGTAACCTACCAACGTAACCCAAGTTTTGATATATCGAGTAACCTACCAACGTAACCAATGTTTTGATATATCGAGAACCTACCAACGTAACCAATGTTTTGATATAACGAGTAACCCACCAAACCAATGTTTTGATATATCGAGTAACCTACCAACGTAACCCAAGTTTTGATATATCGAGTAACCTACCATACGTAACCTACCAACGAAACCAATGTTTTTTTGATATATCGAGTAACCTACCAACGTAACCTATGTTTTGATATATCGAGTAACCTACCAACGTAACTAATGTTTTGATATATCGAGTAACCTACCAACGTAACCCAAGTTTTGATAACGTAACCTACCAACCAATGTTTTGATAATATCGAGTAACCTACCAACGTAACCCAAGTTTTGATATATCGAGTAACCTACCAACGTAACCAATGTTTTGATATATCGAGTAACCTACCAACGTAACCCAAGTTTTGATATATCGAGTAACCTACCAACGTAACCAATGTTTTGATATATCGAGTAACCTACCAACGTAACCAATGTTTTGATATATCGAGTAACCTACCAACGTAACCCAAGTTTTGATATATCGAGTAACCTACCAACCATACGTAACACATGTTTTGATATATCGAGTAACCTACCAACGTAACCAATGTTTTGATATATCGAGTAACCTACCAACGTAACCAATGTTTTGATATTATCGAGTAACCTACCAACGTAACCAATGTTTTGATATATCGACAACCTACCAACGTAACCAAAGTTTTGATATATCGAGTAAACCCACCAACGTAACCCAAGTTTTGATATATCGAGTAACATACCAACGTAACCAATGTTTTGATATATCGAGTAACCCACCAACGTAACCAATGTTTTGATATATCGAGTAACATACCAACGTAACAAGTTTTGATATTTATCCCACCAACGTAACCAATGTTTGATATATCGAGTAACCTACCAACGTAACCCATGTTTTGATATATCGAGTAACCTACCAACGTAACCAAGTTTTGATATATCGAGTAACCTACCAACGTAAACCAAGTTTTGATATATCGAGTAACCTACCAACGTAACCAATGTTTTGATATATCGAGTAACCTACCAACGTAACCAATGTTTTGATATATTTTGTTTTGATAAATCGAGCAATCCAACAATATATCGAGTAACCTACCAACGTAACCAATGTTTTGATATATCGAGTAACCTACCAACGTAACCCAAGTTTTGTTTTGATATATCGAGTAACCTACCAACGTAACCAATGTTTTGATATATCGAGTAACCTACCAACGTAACCAATGTTTCTTGATATATCGATTAACCTACCAACGTAACCCAAGTTTTGATATATCGAGTAACCCACCAACGTAACCAATGTTTTGATATATCGAGTAACCTACCAACGTAATTAATGTTTTGATATATCGAGTAACCTACCAACGTAACCAATGTTTTGATATATCGAGTAACAACGTAACCAAGTTTGATATATCGAGTAACCAATGTTTTGATATATCGAGTAACCTACATACGAAAACCAATGTTTTGATATATCGAGTAACCCACCAACGTAACCTATGTTTGATATATATATCGAGTAACCTACCAACGTAACCCAAGTTTTGATATATCGAGTAACCCACAACGTAACCAATGTTTTGATATATCGAGTAACCTACCAACATAAATCAATAAGTTTTGATATATCGAGTAACCTACCAACGTAACCAATGTTTTGATATATCGAGTAACTCACCAACGTAACCAATGTTTTGATATATCGATTATCCTACCAACGTAACCAATGTTTTGATATATCGAGTAATCCCAACGTAACCAAGTTTTGATATATCGAGTAACTACCAACGTAACCAATGTTTTGATATATCGAGTAATATACCAACGTAACCACGTTTTAATATATCGAGTAACCTACCAACGTAACCATAATGTTTTACATCAACAACGTTTTTGATAATCCAAGTTTTGATATATCGAGTAACCCACCAACGTAACCAATGTTTTGATATATCGAGTAACCTACCAACGTAACCAATGTTTTGATATATCGAGTAACCTACCAACGTAACCCAATGTTTTGATATATCGAGTAACCTACCAACGTAACCAAGTTTTGATATATCGAGTAACCTACCAACGTAACCAATGTTTTGATATATCGAGTAACCTACCAACGTAACCAATGTTTTGATATATGATCACCAACGTAACCAAGTTTTGATATATCGAGTATCCTACCAACGTAAACTAATGTTTTGATATATCGAGTAAACAACGTAACCAATGTTTTGATATATCGAGTAACATACCAACGTAACACAAGTTTTGATATATCGAGTAACCTACCAACGTAACCAATGTTTTGATATATCGAGTATCCTACCCTAACAAGTTTTGATATATCGAGTAACCTACCAACGTAACCAATGTTTTGATATATCGAGTAACAACGTAACCAATGTTTTGATATATCGAGTAACCTACCAACGTAATCTATTTTGATATATCGAGTAACCTACCAACGTAACCCAAGTGTTGATATATCGAGTAACCTACCAACGTAACCAATGTTTTGATATATACGTAACCCAAGTTTTGATAATCCTAACCAACGTAACCAATGTTTTGATATATCGAGTAACCTACCAACGTAACCAATGTTTTGATATATCGAGTAAACAACGTAACCCAAGTTTTGATATATCGAGTAAACCTAACAATGTTTTGATATATCAATGATAAGTAACCACCAACGTAACCAATGTTTTGATATTCGAGTAAGTTACCAACGCAACTGATGTTTTGATATATCGAGTATCTACCAACGTAAATCCATTTTTGATATATCCTGACCAATTTTACCAACGTAGTTTGCCATGAATATTCTTTCTTTTGCGGAAGTGTTTTCAAATGTCAGAAAATAAGTAATCATGATACCTCATCTCAGAGATGTAGAGTTATAGATATCCGTTATTTCAGCTCTTCTTTCATCTGTTGCGTTTATCTTCTCATTATTTCCCTTATCCCAATCAATCTTTTTTGGTCAAGAATATATTAATCTAAATGTTGTGCGAGCATATATTACTTTCACATGGGAAAAAGGAATGGAGAAATATTTTCCACGTGTTTTGATATATCGCTCATTCATCTTTCCTTTATATCGAGTAACTCTCTATAAAAAAAATTCGAGTAACCCACCAACGTAACCAATTTTTATGCCTTTCCTACAACCTAAACAGCTTTTTCAGTAACCAATGTTTTGCTCATTGTCGATGTTTTGATATCCAGCCACCAATCCGTAAATCTTGTTTTTTGAATGGAATGCACGCTTTAAACGCAAAATAAGTAATCATGAAATACATGCACACACACACATGCGTTTATTTTGGCATTTCACACGATTTACCAAAAAATTTTTTTGTTTTTTTTAAGAGAAATATTTTTCAGAGAATTGACACAATTGTATCCAAAACCAACGTAACCAATGTTTGCATTTCCACACACACACACACACACACACACACACACACACTATGTTTTGATAGATTAAAACATGTCACATTAAACAATTTTGTCATGTTTTGATCTATTTATTTTTTAATAGGATCCTCTTAAAATTCACGGACAATTTTTCTTGAGTGTCCTTTTTAAAGGATCCTCTTGTTTTGAAAGAAAATAACGGAACCATGTTGATGCATATTCATTTTTATTCTGAGTACTTTTCGACATTAGCACAATGTCGTCACCAGGGTCTTGTTTTTTCTAAATTTGTTGTATTTATCATTTTCTAAGACAAAATCTTTGTGTTCCTATGAAAATTACTTTTTTTTTATTTACCCGTGAAGTGAAAATATATACTGTACAAATTTAAATTTTATCATGTAGTCACGCATGCAAAGGTCAAGGGAGGTAACTAAGTTACTGTAATGTCTAAATATTTAAAAAAAAGAAAAAAGAAAAACTATTTAAAACTATTAGTTAAAACCTAGATATTTAAACTATTTACTGTAAATATTTTAAAACATTTTTACTTTTCTCTTTTTTTAGGAGAACCATTTTCAAGGAGCTGACAAAATTGTATCCAACGCATGCATGTCAACAATTTCGCCATGTTTTCCCCCTTTTAATGGACAATTGCGGTTATCGAGAAGATAATATACCCCAACTCGAAGATGTGTCCCAATTTCTTCAGGGTAAGTACAAATTCGAAATTCTTGATTATGGGTCTTTTGATACGTACACTTTTTTTTTTTTTACCCCAAGCAAGGCGGGAGTGCCACTAATACGCAAAAGATTACAGAAAGGGAAAGTAAGAGAAAAAGACTGGGTATAGTGCGGAGGTTGAGGAAAGGGCAAAAGATGAACGGGGTTCAAGTCAACAGAAGATGGAAGTTTACGCTGCATTTAAATTTTTGAAGATTGTAGTTTTCAGGGTAGCAAGTAATCGGGAAGTAGTTCCACAGGTAGGAAGTGCGAGAAAAGAAACTGTTGGAGTAGAAGTGACAGTTAAATTTAACTATTTAAGTAAAATGGTGGGACCTAGATGCCAGTCTAGTAGCACGCTTAAATTCCCGTAATCGGTGCACTAGGGAAAAATGCCCGTCAGAGTAGTTGCCATGAAAATATTTGTAGAAAAGACAGAGGAAAGTCACGTCACGTCGGTGAGAAAGTGACTGAAGTCGAAATGCCAAGTCAGGATCAACATAAATATTATTTTTTTTTCCGTTGGAGATACAATCTCCTAAAGGACATTTAAATTTATATACAATGTTTTCTGCAACACGTTAGTTGGTGGCAAAGAGTCATTACGAATAATTAAATTGGGGATACTGGAATTAGTGTAGTATATAATTAATTTTATTCTTTAACTAGGGTCTGTGGTTGATATGTTAGTATTTATTAATTTTTTAGGATATTTTCTTCTTGTTTATAATTAGGATATATTTGGTTGCGATATAAAAGATTGATATATTTGGGGTTAGTTAAGAAGTATTTTTATTCTATTTTATGGAATCCTCCATACTTGCCTGTCACCCACTACGGGAAGATGCACTCTTCCACAAATTAACCTTTAACCAATCATTACTTCACTTTTTCATACTCAACTTCCTATTGGTTAAAAGGACAAAAAAAGGTAGCAAGTTGAGACAAATCTTTTTTTTGCTGCGCAGCTGTCTGGAGCCTATTTGAAAACCCAAAAATCTATTTAAAAAAAAGAATCGCTCGACTTAATTCAAGTCAGTGAGTTTCGAGAGATGCCAGCAGACTCCACGCATGCCAACACACTGACTCAATAACACTACCAGCCTCTCATCAACTGAGCACAACTCGCACTACTATTGCCGCGTGAAGAAACTTAACTTACAATTTACTAAAAAAGTGACATTATCACTACAAAATAGTAATTATACATTTAATCAACTTTAACATATCAGTCAAAGGCACACAACTCTTCATAACTTGAATCAACACTTACAATCGTCACACACATACAAACTATTATTTGAACTCACACAATTGACATTTTTCCTTGCAGAAATCGAACTGTTTTAATTTCACAAACAAACTTAAACCATCAACATTCACTTACCAAATCTCTGCATGGACACTCTTTGCAATCTTATCTCACTTGCCACGTTTAACAAGCAACCTATCATCACTTTGTGTATATCAAATATATATATATAAATTCATGTTGTTGTTGAAATCTATAACTACGTTGTTTTTTGCTTGAATTCTTCAAGTTGTATTGTCTTCAAATGTTCGTTTAATTTATTTGTTGTGGATAAATGCATAATGTACATGCACATTTTAGGCCTTCACACAATTTCACCTTCTGACACATCTTACTTAGCATAAATTCTGCAACAATTTGCTTTATATTAAATTTTCTAATAGAGCATCTTATTTGTTCATCAACAATATAATTAGGCAAGTTATTATTAATAAGTGTTTGTTTTATATTTTATACTTCGCTGTAGAAAATCTGTTTTGTGGATGAATTAATTTTGCACTGTTTATTAGGTTTTTATAATAGCTATTTTATAATAATTTGGAGATTCACTCTCATAGATAAGAGTGAACGAATTTATGCTGGTATTTTTTTATATGAGGAGATAGTGAATTTATTGTTATTAATGTTTATCAATATATCTGGAAAAGGAATTTTATTGCTATTTTTAAATTCGTATGTAAATTTAACCTTATAACACTAACCATGGGTATATAGTACCCAGCGCAAATTTTCCTATTTTTAATTACAATTTTCAGTACCTGGTTTTCTTACCTAAATAATGTTTTTCAGTTTCTATTAATATTAACTCAAAGTACAAAGTTTGAAGTGCCTACATGTAAAATATTTCAAATAAAGATTTATATTTTATTTTTATTTTTATTTTTTTTATTTTATTTTATTTATTTATTTATTTTATTTTTTTTTTTTTATATTTTCAAAATCGGGGATGATATACCCATGGTTAGTAGAGGTGTAAGTTTAATTGATGGTTAGCGTTCTAGGGTTAAGGACAAAATTATTTTGGAATTGTTTTTGGAGTTGATGTATTTCTTCAGTATAGTTGATTTATATAAGGATATATATATATATATATATATATCCGATGCGATGAGAGCGAAAGTAATATATAAATTCCAACGTTCACAGCATTAATCCAAAAGAGGGCTCGATACCAACAGTAGAGCGAAAATTATTCCATTTTAACCATTTATATCCATTTTCGATTCTCACCCGTCGAAGTGCAATTGAAATGCACTGAAACCAGGTTGCATCTTTGTAGTGAGTAAAATGGTTTTGTCTACATGATAAAATTATAATAAAGGAATAATATATGTATGTATGTATATATATATATATATAGATAGATAGAGAGAGAGATAGATTGTGATCATTTTTGCTTAAAGTTCGTATTTTCTGGATTTCAATTGAAACTTGAAAATATTTTAATATATTTCAGTTAAATTTCATCTTTCCAAAACTAGAATTCAAAATGACATTTTTATTTTTCAAAGTTATAGTTTATGAGTATAATTTAAATTCTCTCTCGCTCACTACTGCTATCTCTTTCTCTCCCCCCCCCCCTCTGGAAGTAGGTAATGTCAAGGATCGAACGTGTCAAAAGTGGTTTGCGAAGTTTGGTATTGGAGTAATTTTTGCAATATTCCACTTGATATTAAAATAGAGATAACTTTTATTTTTTATGTCTCTCTCTCTCTCTCTCTCTCTCGCTCTTTATTTATCTATCTATCTATCGCTTCAGACTGCACCGGTTTCCGCCTTCGTCCCGTCGCCGGTCTCCTGTCGTCCCGAGATTTCCTTGCTGGGCTAGCATACCGAGTTTTCCATTCCACCCAGTATATAAGACATTCATCCAAGCCAATGTATACTCCAGAACCGTAAGTTTGATTAACACAATGTCCGAGAAATGGATCCTATAGTAATATGATCAGTTGCAAACTAGTTTCAACATTTTAATATACTAATGATGACCTCCACTGGGTGCCACCCTACTGTTACCTTGTGACAGATGAACTTAAACTGAGATGAACTTAAAGTTTTCTAAAAAAAGAGAAATAAGATGAAAGAAATACTCGTCAACAATGAATAATAATTGGCAATGCTTTATTTAATAAATTCACACAAATGTCTAATATTTCATTATCCAATTCCAGAGATGTGTGTCACGAACTGCTGGGCCATGTGCCGTTGTTTGCTGACCCCGAATTTGCACAGTTCTCCCAGGAAATCGGTCTGGCCAGCCTGGGTGCCCCGGATGATTATGTTCAGAAACTAGCAACGGTTCGTATTTGTTATGTGCGACATACAGTTAATTTCACACCGGTATTTATTTGGGAATCATGGAACAACATGTTTTCCTGATGCTCACCAGCACTTTCCTCACTATCAAATGTTCTTATTGAGTTTTCGAAATCCTTATCAAATGGTGGCTTTTTCGGGGCGGGAGTGGCGGAGGGGGGGGGGTTCAAATTAGAGCAAGTCTCCTCAAATCTCTAACACTCTTATTATTTTCTACTTATTGAGTTTTCAAATCAGTAAAAACTTGTGTCTTTCTGGGGGCGGGAATCAACTGATCGTAATCTCCGCTGTACCCCCGGCATTCTACTCAGTGCCTAGCCCAGCAGTAAAAATACACTTAAAACAACACTTCTTCGCTAACCACGTTTTTCGTGTATATATTACGCACTCCCCCCCATAGTTTAAGCCTAAAATTTAAGATGTCGTGTATATAATACGCACTTTCCCCCCATAGTTTAAGCCTAGCATCTAAAATGCCGTGTATATAATACGCACTTTCCCCCAGAGTTTAAGCCTAGAATTTAAGATGTCGTGTATATAATACGCACTTTTCCTCCCAGAGTTTAAGCCTAGAATTTAAGATGTCGTGTATATAATACGCACTTTTCCCCAGAGTTTAAGCTTAGAATTTAAGATGTCGTGTATATAATACGCACTTTTCCCCCAGAGTTTAAGCCTAGAATTTAAGATGTCGTGTATATAATACGCACTTTTCCTCCCAGAGATTAAGCCTAGAATTTAAGATGTCGTGTATACAATACGCACTTTCCCCCCATAGTTTAAGCCTAGAATTTAAGATGTCGTGTATATAATACGCACTTTTCCCCCAGAGTTTAAGCCTAGAATTTAAGATGTCGTGTATATAATACGCACTTTTCCCCCAGAGTTTAAGCCTAGAATTTAAGATGTCGTGTATATAATACGCACTTTTCCCCCAGAGTTTAAGCCTAGAATTTAAGATGTCGTGTATATAATACGCACTTTTCCCCCAGAGTTTAAGCCTAGAATTTAAGATGTTGTTGTCAATACACTTAAAACAACACTTCTTCGCTAACCACGTTTTTCGTGTATATATTACGCACTTCCCCCCCTATAGTTTAAGCCTAGAATTTAAGATGTCGTGTATATAATACGCACTTTTCCCCCAAAGTTTAAGCCTAGAATTTAAGATGTCGTGTATATAATACGCACTTTTCCCCCAGTGTTTAAGCCTAGAATTTAAGATGTCGTGTATACAATACGCACTTTCCCCCCATAGTTTAAGCCTAGAATTTAAGATGTCGTGTATATAATACGCACTTCCCCCTATAGTTTAAGCCTAGAATTTAAAATGTCGTGTATATAATACGCACTTTTTCTCCCATGGTTTAAGCCTAGAATTTAAGATGTCGTGTATATAATACGCACTTTTTCCCCCAGAGTTTGAGCCTAGAATTTAAGATGTCAGTCGGTTATGTGCCATACGCGATACTCGCTTAGGCTACCATGTATCTCTCGATGCATGACTGATGAGGCAGATTTTTTCCCACAGTAGGTTGCCATTTCGTTCTGCGGTAGACCAGTTGCCATCCAAGGCTATAGAACCCGGTCTATCCTGTTATTTACCCATATCTGGGGGGAGAAGAAGAGGATTCATACTTTTCCCAAGGGTATTAGCACATAAGTGAATGTAATGGATTCGACTGGAATTCGAACTCGGCTCTCCGATTCCTCAATCCGAGTCGCTATCCATTACTCCACCATGATGTTGGAAAGCCAGACGCTAACTTTTTTTTTCTAAATACTGCATAAATTTTTACTTTTAGTCAATACAAGCCAGATAAAACTTGAACAAAATTTAAATTTAAGTAAAATTTAGCTGCTACAAATTCTAAAACCCCAGCGCGTATTATACACGAGATATCTTTTACCCAAAATGCGAGGTGAATATGATACAAGTCATATACATGAATAATTTCACAAAACAAACTATAGATTATGTCAGGTTAATCCATCTTTGTTTTTGTTATTTTCATTACGTTTTCCCACTACTCGTATTAGTGAGGGGGGGGGGTCTTTTACTAAGGATCAAGTGACAACAAGTTTCCTCAATACTCCAGTACCCTTCTCAGTATTCTTGCTGCTTTCACTAATGCTGCCGTTGGATGGCCTCGAAACACACCCGGATTTCTAGTTCTTCTAAGCCCTTTACAAGACATTTTAAGATTATTCCAAGTTTTCCAACGACTATGGGCACAACTGCCACTTTAACATTCCACCTTTTTTTTCTAATTCCCTTACAGGTTCTAAATATTTTTTCCGACTTCTCACTTTTATTCTGTGGTAAACTGGAATAGCAAAATCTAACGTCTTCTTCTGTTTGTAATAACGAAGGTTTTCTGTTCAACCAATAACTATATATTTATTAATCACTCATCGACTGTTCCCGCCAATAATGACCGCTAGCTTCCATTGGAGATAAAGTGACAGCAAGTTTCATCAATACTTTTGAATTCTTCTTAGCGGTTTAGCTGGTTGTCGGTAAAGCCATCACCTGTATGTTTTTTTCCAGACATTTTCTTAGGTCCTTCAAGTGCTCCAATAACGAATGGCATTATTATTATTATTATTATTATTATTATTATTAGATGAAGAAGAAGAAGAAGAGGAAAAAGAAGAAGAAAAGTGCGCGATTTAAGAAAAGAAAAAGAAAAGAAAAAACACGAAAAAAATAATATTTTTTAAGAAAAATAAAATATTTTTTAACATTAACAGTTTTTTTCTTTTCTTAAATCGCGTTCTTCTCTTAACTATTATTATTATTATTATTATTATTATTGTTGAGAGGGAAACACGCTAACTAACAAATTATACTGTAGCCCAAATTTGCAAAGCCCAATCTGATAAGGACATACCAGGCATATTATTATTATTATTATTATTATTATTATTATTTTCTTTGATTTCTGGCGTTTACATATTTCTTTCCGGGTCCCGCCCAGGGACCTAAGGTTAGAAATGGCGTCATGACACTTTCCATTGACAAAAAAAAAAAAATTACATAGATAAAGCCCTTCGTAAAGTGTGGGCTGTACTTGTCAGAACAATTTTTTGTATCTCCTTGAGGCATGGACTTCCAGTAATCCCTTCAATTAGTCTACTGCAATCTTTTTCAACGAGTCCTAAGGCTCCAACTACAACAGGGATTGTTGATGTTCCCATATGCCACATTTTCGAGATTTCTATTTCAAGGTCCTATTATTTTGACAACTTTTTGAATATCTTCAAAGATACATTGCAGTCAGCAGGGACTGCCATATCAATAAGGAGGCACCGTTTTTGTTTGTGGTCTTTAATAACAATATCCGGGCGGTTGACCTTGATTGTTCTGTCATTGTGTATTGTGTAGTCCCATAGAATTGTAACAGATCCTATCTCCGTAACCGGGTCTAGGTGGTGTTCATACCAGTTTCTTTCAGTTTCCTTCCCGTAGAAGTTGCAGATTTTCCAGTGCAGATATTGGCCCACTCTGTCATGTCGGGTTTTATATTCAGTGGGTGCCAGCATCGTGCAACCTGATACAAGATGATCAATCGTTTCTGGATATTTATCACAGAATCTGCATTTTGGGCTGACACAATATTTTAGTATATGTGCTTGATAATTCCTAGTTAGCAAGCATTGGTCCTGCGCAGCAAGGATAAAACCTTCAGTTTCTGCTTTCAACCCTGCACTACGTAACCACTGATGGTTACGGGTTTTGTCTACGTCAGCTTGTTTGGTACGGGCAGAGTATTGGCCATGAAGCGGTTTATCTTGCCAGCGCTTCTGTATCTGGTCGGTTGCATTCGTCTTTGCTGTCTTTTTTAAGTATTTTGCAGTTTCATCCGGTGTATTGTGCTGTAGTTGCATCTCTACGCCCATTTGAAACTCCATTTTGAATTTGTTGGCTTCTTTCATTATTGAGTAAAGACGCTTACTACTTTCATGTTCCATCATCCAGTCTTCTGTAGTTTCCAGATATCTTTGGAGGACAATTTTTGTAGTTTTCTAGGACAGTTCTAGTTGAACTAATCCTCTGCCCTCTTTCGGATCTGGGCACATACAGGCGATCAACGTCAGCTTTGGGATAGTGCATGCGATAGCAAGTGAGAAGCTTTCTCGTTTTGGCGTCCATTCGCTTAATTTCAGCTATGGTCCAGTTAAGGACATTAAAGCTGTATTGCACCACAGGGACAGCCAATGTGTTTATGGCTGATATTCTGTTTTTTGAGTTTAGCTCAGTGTTTAGTACCAGACTAGTAGTACTCTTTTATTTTTTCCTTCATTTGGGGGTGTTGTATGCCATCTCCTTCGCTAATTCCTAGGTACTTATAAGCTTCACCATGCTCCAGTTCCCTAATCTTTGTGACAAAATCTAAATCTATTAAGGGTGTTTCTGTAATTCTACATTTCTTGAATGTAACTTTTGCACATTTATCTAATCCGAAGTCCATACCTATGTCGTCACTGAAGTATTTTACAATATTGAGGATGCCTTTCAACTCATTGTCGTCTTTGGCAAAGAGTTTGAGATCATCCATGTAGAGTAGGTGATTGAATATTTTCTTATCTATTTTGTAACCATAGCTACTGTTGTTCAGTTCATGTGTAAGAGGGATTAAGGATAAACAAAACAGAAGGGGTGACAGAGTCTCCTTGAAAGATTCCACGTCGGATATTCAGACGGTTGGATATGGCAGTGCCCCCGGTGTGACTAAGGTATAGTTTGGTGTTCCACATTCCCATACTGTGCTTAAGGAAATTTAATACCACAGGGGAGACTTTGTACATTTCCAAAGTCTTAAGGGTCCAAGAATGTGGAACACTATCAAAGGCTTTACGATAATCAATCCACGCTGCACTAAGATTTCTGCGTCGTCTTCTGCAATTTTCCAGGATCATTTTATTTATCAGAAGCTGATCTGTGCAGCCATATGAACCTCTTCTGCATCCCTTCTGTTCCAGTGGGAGAATGCTGTTTGTTTCGAAAAAGGAATAAGTACGGTTCGTCAGTACAGACGTGATCAACTTATACGTTGTGGTGGAGACATGTTATCGGTCTATAATTTTCAGGTCGTCTGTTTCAGTTGTTTTTGGTATGAGGTGTGTAATACCTTCAGTAATCCGTTCGGGATTTTATTGGGATTATTTACAAGCGTTGATAATGTTTTTGCAAGAATTTCATGGGTAGATGAGAGATGATACAGTCAGAAATTGGGCAACTTGTCATTTCCTGGGGATTTCCATGTTTGGGACTTCGTTAGAGCTTGCCTAACATCATCTGTGGATATATATTTCCCATTCTTGCAGAGGTGTATCCAGCAGTCGTTCTTCTTCACGCCGTATCCATTCTGCATTTGGGTTATATTCCTTTGGGCTGATTATTATTATTATTATTATTATTATTATTTCTCATCGGGTATTCAAACCAGTAATTACAGGTGGCTTACATTGAAGATTAAGTGATAACAAGTCTGCTCAATATGCCAGGTCTCTCCTCAATATGTTAGTTTTTTTTTTCAGTAATTCTGTCGACTGGAAGGTCCAGACCCTTACCCTGATTTCGAATTCCTTCAACATTTTTCTTAGGCCCTTCTTGACTGTTCCCAGTACATCAATTATGGCTGCTACAACTGCAACCTTCATATTCTACAACTTTCTCAGTTTATTGATAAAAACAACAACATTATTATTATTATTATTATTATTATTATTTCAATTTCTGTTATGGTCACACAACCTACCAAGTCTGCGGGAAGACCCAAGGCAGGTAGCGGTGTGTTGTTATGGCTACATTTCATCATTTGTTTTTTCTAACTCCTATAACATCACTAGCGTTACATGGACAAAGTTATTCTTAGTGTGTGGGTTGTACTTATCAAGACAATTTTTTGTATTTCTCTTAAGCTGGAATTTCCAGGGATTTTTTTTTTCAATCTATTGTTGGGTTCCTTTTTTATCATTCCAAGTGCACCTACTATGACTGGTACTATACTTGTTTTCAATTTCAACACTTTTTCTATTTCTAGGTCTTTATACTTCAATAGTTTTTCAAATTCCTTTGTTGCTATGTTACAGTCCGCTGGGTAAGCCATTTCAATTCGTAGGCAAGTTTTTTTCTTTTCGGTTTTTGACAATTATGTCCGGCCTATTTGCTTCAATCTGCCGGTCTTTAAAAATGGTTTAATCCCATAGAATTGTAATGTCTTCTATTTCTGTAACCGGTGCTGGATACTTTTCATACCAGTGTTAATATCTTTTCAAAAGTGTTTGCACATTGTCCAGTGTAAGTATTGCCCTACTCTATCGAGACGTGTTTTATATTCATTCGGCGAAAGTTGTTGTTTAGATTAGATGGTCTATATTTTCCTGATATTTGTCACAGAACCTGCATTTTGGATCCATACTATTATTTATGATATTTGCCTGAGAGAATATAGTGAAAATCTCTAGTCTTGCGCTGCAAAAATAAAGCCTTCCATTTCAGCCTTTAATCCAGATGCCCCTTAACCATCGATTATTATCATTATTATTATTATCATTATTATTATTATTATTATTATTTAAAAAAGAATGTTGGCATTTGTTTTACAATCACATATCGAGTAATAAACAGTGGTCTAGGAAAAGTGTTCCTATACCTGTTTTTATTTTTGTCATATATGTAGATGCATTACTTAGATGGGTGGCGAAGATTTATAGCCAAGCGGCTATGTGGAAAAATAGTGTTATTTATCGTTGTGTTTCATGTATCTGTTGTCGCTTCTGTGGGAATAAATGGGAAGCACTACTTTCAGAGCGTCCCTCGTATTAAGATCTGATTTGAATGCATTTGTTTTGCAGTGCTATTGGTTCACAGTAGAATTCGGTTTGTGTCGAGAAAGGAATGAACTGAAAGCTTATGGAGCGGGTCTTCTCTCTTCTTTCGGGGAATTGGAGGTAAACCTTTTCGATTTTTGCTATTTTTTATGTAAATTTGTTGCTTTGATGATATTTCTGTTGTTGATAATCTTTTCTTTTCTTTTCTTTTTTTTTTTTTGTTGTTAATCAGAATCCGAATCAATACTAAAAGGGGCGCCAAAACTTTTAAAAAATCGACTACAAGCTCAAACATGAAACTTGACTTAAACATTCCATTTTTTTCTCGATTTTATAAATGCGCGTATAAATGCACGTTATAAATGTGATAAAAATGTTTTCCCCGATGTTATAAATGCACAGGAGAACAAATGAAACAACTGTACCGCCAGTCAGGCGAGAGAAAAAGAAGACAAGAACTGTAAATATAATTTTTTTTTCATTACCGACAAGCGGATACGAACAGAATGTCTCTATGCAGGCGAGGTGTGGCGAGACGAAGGCGGGTGGAGTTGGTAAGTCCTAGAGTTGAGGCGTTTATCGGGTCGGTTGACCGAGGTCATGGTAGTAACGTCGAGAGAGGCCTGGAGTGTATTAGTGAAGCCTGATGTTCGCCACGTATCTGACTCAGTCATTTATGCGTGACTTTCTTAAAGGTTAGGTACTTACTGAAGCGGTACAAGGAACGAGTGGTTAGAACGTTCGATTTCTGACCATGAGGCCTGGGTTCGAATCTCACCATTGTTGATCACGCTAGATAACACGCTCTCTCCCAGAAATTGTAACTAAGGTCTGCTCAGCATAGTTGCATTATAAAACACAGGTGGGCTCTGTGGGCGTTGAGCAAACACAAATGTGCCTGAGCGAGCGTCTGCAATAGGGATTGGCTAGCTGCCCTAGTAGACAGGTATCCTCGAATACGAGTGGGTTGTATATACGAGTTCCATTTGAGTGTGTTGCAGAATAAGGATTGCCGAATGAGGAATTATGGTAGCAGCGACGTATCTTCGAGGTGGCCTGAAATTAATGAAATCGTCACGAAGTTAAGGAAAAAGATTTCAAATTACGTTTTAAGAACAAAAAATGTAAATAACTCTCTTTGTTCTGGTTTAAATATATTTGTACTTTCTAAAAAATCTTTTAGCTTTGACAGAATTTAATTTTTATTCAAATTCCAAAACGTAATTTTTAAATGTAAATTTGATTTATATTAAATATCACTGAAACTCTTTTCTCTCTTCTTAAAGTATTGCCTCACAGACAAACCAGAGATACGCCCATTCGACCCAGACAAGACTTCTCAACAGTCTTATCCAATCACAAGTTATCAACCTGTCTATTATGTCGCAGACAGCTTCCAAGATGCTAAACAGAAAATAAGGTAAGAATAAAATAAACAACAATTAATAACGTCAAGGCGGGAAATCATGATAAAGGAATTAATGTCATTTTAAAACGAATGTGACTCACATAAAACGGCCATTAAACTCAATAAACCGTCTGAGGATCGCTTCTTTGCGTGAAACTTCTAGTCATAAAGAAATGATGTCTCGTTGTCATTCTGGGATTGCATTACTGTACTGATCTAGGCGGGTTTTTTTTCACGTTTCTATTAAAACTTATCTATCCAAGAAATAATCTTTTCAATTTCTTTTCATGACACTATCGACTCTCCAGATCACGAATATCAAATTTGTATTTCTTTTTCAATCATTTCTTTATTCTATTTATGAATTTCAAGAGGAGGGTGTGTCTTGTTAAATCATTCTAATCTAACCACCCTTCTGCAGGCAAAAAAAAAACAAAAAAAACAAATGCTCATACCACATAATAAAGTACATGCTTATAAAAATGTCCAGTATTTTTACAAGTTAAAATCTTTAAGGCAAGTGAATATCCGATTATGATTGTACTTGTCCCTCCGTTCGTTAGTCCGCACGACCGTTACGCCCTGCCAATAACTCATAAATAACGTACTATCCTTATCCCCATTAACGATCTTCCTGATGCCATAGGTTCCAAAGTAGGCATCTATGCGGACGACACTACTATTTACTCCTGCCTCAAAAAAAAATCTAGTGTCGCCGACAAAACTAACCTGGCCGTTTGTCTCGAAAAGGACCTCCAATCGGTTGTGGACTGGGGCAGGAATTGGCTGGTTAACTTTAACGCCTCAAAAATAAAACTGCTCTCTATTAATCACCACAGAGATCCTTCCTTGCCCCCCCCCCACCTTAGAATGTCTGACGCTCAACTTCTCGAGAGCACCTCTTTGCGACTGTTCCGTCGCTCATTGTCTGCTGACCTAAGATGGAACAAATACATTGAGTCAATAGCTTTGTCCATCGCAAGGAAAGTTGGCTCCCTGTGCTGCGCCAGGAAATTTTTCTCGCCGGAGTCGATCCTTCAAATCAACAAATCAACCATTCGCCCTTGCATGGAGTATTGCTGCAATATATGGTCTGGGGCCCCTTCTGTTTGTCTCAAGGTTCTTGATAAAATCCAGTAATTGGCTCTGATCTGGCATCTCATCTGCAGTCGCTCTCTCACAGACGTGCCGTCGACTCCCTCTGTCTTTTTTACAAATACTTTCATGGTAACTGCTCCGAGGAGCTATTTTCGCTGGTTCCCAGACTTCATGAATTTAAGCGTTCAACTAGGCTGGCATCCCGCTCTCATCCTTTCACAGTCGAAACTGTTAAATGTTGCCGTCTCTTCTACTCCAATATCTTAATGTCTCGCACTTCTCACCTGTGGAACTCCTTCCCCTTTTCTTGTTTCCCTGATAACTATAATCTCCAACTATTCAAATGTAATGTCAATCGACATCTCCAGATGCCCCGATCTATCCCCTGTCCTTCTCTTCATCCTTTCCTCTATCACTCCTATTTTCTCTAGCTCCAACTCTCTGTAACCCCTTGCATGCTAGTGGCTTCCCGCCTTGGAAACTTGGGGTGAAACGCTTAAAAAAAAAACTATTCCATTTTGATCACGTGTTAAGAGAGCAAATACATTGATTGGTTTCAGTGAAAAAATAAAAGAAAGAAAGAAAGAAGTGGATAGATTAAGCCGATAAGAACAGATACTACACTTTGATCTAAGCCAAAATGCCGAAAAGCTTAGGTTACCGTGATAAAGCACCATTTTTCAGATGCACAGTAGCGAATGACCAAAACCAAATGAGGCAATCGTTTAAAAACCAGTTACCACAAATAAAATAACATCGTCTTCTGAATTATTTTTAAATTATTATTAAGAGAAATGTCCGTAAGACGGGAATTTGGCTAGAAGAAAAGAAAGAAAGAAAGAAAGAAAGAAAGAAGAAGAAAAGAGAAGAGAAGAGAAGAGAAGAGAAGAGAAGAGAAATTAAAATAAAGGGGCTTAACGCCTCCTGCCAATACCTCATAATGGACTATTTTGATTGCATAGAAAAACAAGACATACCAATGAAAGAAAGAAAGAAAGAAAGAAAGAAAGTGTTTCACTGCTATTTCAGTGAAATAGAAAAAGTTACCAATTTCTAATCTTTTCATTGATTGTTGTTTTGTCATGCAGTGTAAGTTTTAAATACACCGGGTGTATTATGTTATCTGTCAAATCACAACAAGGGCTCCATGCAGACAATACTTTCCTCGAAATCTGCGTAAAATAATTATTTACATATTTGAATTGGCCCCTGAGCAGCTGTGTTCCTGAACAATCCTAATTTGTAAATAATCATATTGGATATACTACTACATGTTTAACAAGAAGACTCACATCTCATCTTTCTGACCATAGCTCAATTAGGTTTCATTTAAATATACATGGAGATCTACCAAACTCTATCCGTAACATACTCGTTGAAAATACAAATATAATAGCTTCATCCACATGTACTAAAAGACTAAAAATAATGGAAGCAATAAAAAGAAATAGCCTACACTTAATAATATCAACTGAATACAGCCACAATCTGATGACTTCACTTATCTTCACTTAGAAACATCATAAAGAAATACACAACTGAAGTCGATAAAAAAAAGAAAATTCAAATAAATTATTTATTACAAAAAATTTAAAACCGCTAACTTGATCGTCAAAAATAATAATTCACCCGCAAGATCTAAAATTACAGAGAACCAATATTAATTTACGAATTTCCATGTCTCTTTAAGGAGTTGTTCCTGATCAATCCTAATTTGTAAATAATTATATTGGATATACTACAATATGCCTAAGAAGAAGATTCACGTTACATCTTTCTGACCATATCTCAATTAGGTCTCATTTAAATACACAGGGAGATCTACCAAACTCTATCCGTAACATATTCGTTGATAATACAAATATAATAACATCAACCAACACTCAATAATATCAATACGAACACGCCCACAATGTGCTGACCATATTTGGAAAATAAACCATTCGTATAACTCTAGATAAATACATAATACAATGCATATATTCAGTTAAAAATAAGATAAAATTCATCCTCGATAATGGTTAAAAGTATAGCCGAAATGGCTTGGGAAACATCGGAGAATTTTTATATAATTTATGTCCTGAAAAGAAAAAAGTATATACGACCATATGAGAAATTATTTATCACAACGTTCCGGCCGTTGTACGCTCTGGCCTTCTTCAGGTGGTTGGAATGTCGACCTGAACCCTTTATTTCGCTCATTGGAGTAGACTGTTCTAGTTCCACATGCCATGTTTTATGGATGTCAATTATCCGTTATCTCCTGTTAATTCCCCTCTCCAAGTTCTCCACTGCCTTAAGCGGGTATTGAACTCACACTCTTTGGGTCCTGTCACTGGATCTAACCAACGCCTTTATCCGCTGTGCCATGTGTCCTTGAGGCCGAAACGCTGTGATAAATATGGCGACAAAGACGAGGACAATAGTCCGAATAATGTAAATAGTGTACATAATACCTCATTTCAGAAAATATTGACAGATACAAGATAAATAATATAAAAACTCAACCACTGCAACTTGTCAGTCGTTTTCAACGAAACCTATATATATATATATATATATATATATATATATATATATATATATATATTTATATATAGACATTTTTATGTTTAACGTTCTTTTTTATAGATACAAGTATTTAAGTAAATGCTCTGTTTATAATAAACAGTATTAAATAACATTTACCGGCTTGAATGTCGAGAAATTTTCAAGGACGAATATTTTCTATGAAAATTTCTCGGACATTCAGGCCGGTAAAGGTCTTTAATAAAATAAATTGTCGGTTTTTGATTTGTCCATATTATTATATATATATATATATATATATATATATATATATATATATACATATATATATATATGTATTCATGAATTATTCACACTAAAACTAATGCAAAGGTTAATGATTTAATTGGCGAGAAATCCATCGTCGCAAACAATTCAAATAATATACAAAAACCTCCGAATCCGTTATGAATGAATTGATCCTTGTTTCCATAAATTTCTGCCGTATTAGTTCTTATTTTTACTACAAGCTTTCGTCTGTTCCTACAGACATCTTCAGGTATATAGAATAGATATTGTTCTTGTTTTTTTCTCTTAGTAATAAGAGGACAACGAAAATATATGTATTGTTGTATCCGAAAATGCTATTGGAAATGAGTTATTGTTTTTGGAGCGCGCAGTAGCAACGCTGAGTTTGATTTTAAATTTTTTAAAAGTTGGGCGTTCATATACAAATATGGTGATGAACGAATTTTTACTGGTAAATTTTCTGTCAAAGTGGCATGAACTATATTGTTCAATAATTACAGTAATGTCGCACTTATTATCCAAAAGTCGCACTTGGATCAGTTATTTAAATTACGATAAACGTGCAATCAATTTACAAATTCATGAATTATTCACACAAAAACTAATAAAGGTTAATGATTTAATTGGCGAGAAATCCATCGTCGCAAACAATTCAAATAATATACAAAACCTCGAATCCGTTATGAATGAATGATCCTTGTTTCTAAAAATTTCTGCCGTATTAGTTCTTATTTTTTACTACAAGCTTTTCGTCTGTTCCAATAGACATCTTCAGATATAGAATAGATGTTGTTCTTGTTTTTTCTCTCATTAATAAGAGAATAAACAAGAACAACAAATATTCTATATTGTTATGAAAATGCTCTGTGGAACAGAGTTATTGTTTTGTAGTAAAAATAAGAACTAGTTTGGCAGAAATTTTAAAAGTTGGGATTCATTACATTGATAACGGATTTTTCGGAGGTTTTTTATATTATTTGAATTGTTTGCGACGATAGATTTCGCCAATTAAATCATTAACCTTTTGCATTAGTTTTGTGTGAATAATTCATGAATTTGTAAATTGATTGCACGTTTATCGTAATATATATGTATATATATAATTCTTTTATATTCTTATTTATACGTAATTTTTTATTTGAAATGTACTTTTTACTAATTTTGCAGAGATTATGCCTGCAACATCCGTCGTCCGTTTACCGTTCGATACAATCCCTACACCCAGACAATGGAAATGATCAATAACAAAGAACGATTGGGTACCCTTTGCAAAACCATTCGATGTGAGTTGGATATATTGATTATACTATAAAATCGATCATAGTCAATTTTACACGCACACTCACACACACACACACACACACATATATATATATATATATATATATATATATATATATATATGAATAACAGGTTTGTCACTTACCTGATTGATGTTAGCTTCAGCATCCCAACTCCAGAGTTTTGTTGACAGATCCTCCAGGAATTATTCCATCGACTCGTCAGCGGATATCAGCAACTGACTGCTTATACTTCTCGATTTTTCTTTTATATATGCTTTTTTTGTTGGTGCAAGTTATTTTTTTTTTTCATATTGTATGTGGGCGTTCGCGCGCGTGCATACGCGCAACTGTCTTCTCGTATGTGTAGAATATCGTGATTATTTGTCCTTTTCGTCGTTTTTTTTCTTTCTTTTTTTATTTTTTCTTTGATTTTTTTATTTTTATTTTACACTCTCTCCTTAATCTTTTATCGCTTTTTCCCCTTTTCTTCCAATTGTTACCATTTGGATTCCGGTTTTCTAGACGTGTTGTTGATCTCCCACATAACAGTAAAACGTTAGTAGCAATTAGCTTACCATTTATATATATATATATATATATATATATATATATATATATATAATAAGCTAGTTTCATCCAGCCAAATCTTGACTTGGCTATATATATATATATATATATATATATATATATATATATATATATATCGCTCCTCTTGTTTTGACCAACGATTACTTTTCTATCAATCTTTACCCCATCCTCTTTATTTTGCAATATATGCTATAGGCGACATAATAGCCAGATAATTACAGAAATGTGCCTTTTTCAAACGCTTCAAGATTGTGCGGCCGCTGACCAATAAACAACTGGTGGTAATAAAACTCGGGAAAGTAACAACATTTAATTATCGCTTTTTATATATATATATATATATATATATATATATATATATATAACTTATAACATTATTAATGCATATGTTACGTTAATACATACATATATATATATTAACCTAACATCTGCTATAATACCCCACTGACCTGCCTCAAATATATTTTTCTACTTTTATATTAAGTTACCTCCCTTAAAACATCCCAGAGTTCAATTATAACGTATCATATAGGTCATTTTATTTTGTTGCATTATCGTTTCCATTTTCTTCTCTTTGCCTATCCACACTTTATATTTAGTAATTACCAGCTATTTTTAGTTTGTATTGTAATAATCTTATCCGTTGACAATATAACGTTACTTCCATGAGACAAAGTATTTTGTAAACAACCGCCCCAAAAAACAATACTATCGACTTTGTCTACTTTTTCCTTAGTCCATTATTTATATTATCTTTCTCCAATTGCTTTATATTTATTTTTATTTATTTATTCTTTATTTTTTATTTTTTTATTTTATGTCATACCTACTTTATTTTTTCACTTTATTTTTTCTATTGTCCTAATTTGAATTATTTCTACTTTACTTCTTTTTCTTTATCTTCCTCTTTCCTGTCATATTTATTGTAAAGTTGCCTCCCTTAGACGGCTTGTATATCATTTATTTTTTCTTCAATTTTTAACAAACTCATGTCTTCACTAAGTTTATATTCCACATCTTAGTTTATTTTTCGATATTTCCCTATTCCTTTCCTCTATATTTTGAATTTATACCTCAATAGCATATTAAATTTATAATAATCTTGAACTTTGAATCGACACACAATGTATCGTTGCTCCCATGAGACACAAAAATTAAACAACCGAATTGAACAGTGCATAACTTTTTGTACCCAATGAGTCGTACTGCAAAACGTAGATATATGTGTAATTATTAATATATATATATATATATATATATATATATATATATATATATATATTGTATATTTAGGCAGCAATCCTTCATTTATGCATGTTTCATTAAAAACGACAGACAAGGTACTACGGTTAAGCTTTTTATTTAATTTTTCTTGTGTTCGAACAAGAGTGTGTAAAAATTGTCCAAAAGTTTTATAGTTCCGAGCGCTTTCGGCTATACCTTTAGCCATTATCAACGATGGTTCGATTTTTCAGCTTAATTGAGTGTGTGCATTATGCGTATGTCTTAGTGTGTGGTAGGAATGTTTTTAATTTCCGAATACGGTTAGCACATTGTGGCCTTGTTCGTAGTTAATATTGTTAACAGTGGGCTTTTTCTCTTTTATTATTAAAGCTTCCATTGTTTTTAATCTTTTTTTTACAGGTGGAGCAGTTAATATATTTGTGTTTTCTACTAGTATGTTTCTAATGGAGTCTGGTAAATTTTTGTGTGTGTTTAAATGGGTTCTAATGGAGCTGTGATCAGATAGGTGTAACGTAAGACGTCTGGATAAGCATGTAGTTGTGTAGCCGATGTAATTATTTATGAGTCCGGTTTGATCAGGAAAACAGTTCCTTAACCGTAGTACCTTGTCTGTCGTTTTTAATGAAGCATGCATATATATATATATATATATATATATATATATATATATATATATATATTATGTACCGGCAAGACGGCACGAGGACGATCTCATTTTCGCTTCAAGGGAGTCTGCGAAAGGGACATGAGTGCGATGGAGCTGGGCGTCGAGAGGTTGAAAGACGTCGCCAGCGATCGCTCACGTTGGAAACGCGGTTTACACCGAGGGCTGGAGCGAGGAGAGGAGAAACAGAGGCCTGTCGCCGGGGTAAAGTTCGCTCGACAGAAAGAAAACAACCCAGCGACATCGGAGTCTTCACACATCTTTTAAATTTTCACAAGGAGAAAAACTGAAAACGTAGAATAACGATTTTATTCCAATATACAACTTAATACAAGCTAACTAACCTGAGTTCTATTAATTTTTTTTAATTTTTTTTTTATTTACTTTTTTTTGGGGGGGGGATAAAGGTGGCACACAGAAGACTCCATCCAAGTTTTCACAAGTTCATTTTCAACGAAACTCGCATGTATATATACAAGCAGTATAACCCGTTTTCGACCGGGTCTTTCATTACTGGAAATTTTTACCGTTCAATTGGAGCAGTTTAAGGTCATCCCACCCGAAAATCAATATTAGTAACGACAATTGGGTGCAACTAAGACACATCCCCAGATGGGTGAAGGGGTTTAACAATTTGAATGGGGGTGGCCCTAAAAAGGGTTATTTATGCGTTCTCAATCTTGCTTCAGCCTCACGCACAGCAGCAGTTGAAAAGGTGTTTCTCCTCAGCCGTTGAGTCCTTTGATCATCATTTTCAGCCTCGCGCGTAGAAACGTTCAGTTATGCTTTTCTGAAAAGCCGATGGCTACGTTGATCTTCGGACTCAGTGGCTCTGATTGAAGCATTCCAAGATGCATTTTGAGACAGGCGAACGTTCTAAAGACGATTTGTTATTTCTTATTCGCATGGCGGACCTGGCGGCAGAGGTTTTGCGACCAAGGCAAGTTCTTTCCTTTGGTGGCATGTCTTAGGCAAGTATGAATTGTCAAATGGAATGCGTGGGCAAATGCCAGAAGAGAGTGCTGTAAAGCTCGAATAACTTTAGGAAAGATTGGAAAAATAAGTGTTGAGTAATAAAAAAGAAAGCTTACTTATTACTTATGGTAATGCAATGCGAAAACTGGCAGGACAATAAAAAAAATTTAAATTGAGAACGGCTATAAATGACAATGAAAGCAATACCTTAAAACTGTAGTAGTAGGTTTTATGCAACTAAAACGGTAATCTCACTTGCGAGAGATTGAAACTTGACCAAGAGAAGGGGAATGTGTAATTTGAACTCAAAACCGGCACTGAAGAATTATTTATCAAACAAAAAAATTTAATCGAAATCTGATGAAAACTGTGGAAACTCATAAACAACATCCGATCACACGCATACATACGCACACACATTTTGAGAATTTTTTTATATATATATATATATATATATATATATATATATATATATATATATCCAAGTATAGGATTGGTTTATACGGAATAAATTTCAAAAACCAACAAATACTATTCTTAAAAGAGTGCTCAATACAGAGTAGAGCAAATATAATTATTTATTCGAAAATTATAACATAAGTATGTTATAAAATCACTACAAAATAGCCATTTTGTTTCAATACTTCTGGTGTCTTATCAAGTGATGGTGTTGAATATATAATACATATATTATACAATAAATAATTTTATATATATATATATATATATATATTAAGGCAGGATAAAAATTTCTGATAAAAAGGATTACCATCGACAAATGTAGTTACACTTTGGGAAAAGACAAGAATCAATGACAAAAAGAGAAGACAATTCAAGAAGGAAGAAAAGCAATGGTACAACCACCTTTCAGATAAAAACGAAAACGTCTACTTTTACTTGCTCCACGACCATCTCTGGGGCATATAGTAATTTTTAAAAAGTCACTTTTAAATTCTCATTGTTCGTTCATAGGATAATTTCTTAGATTTCTTTTCGTTGTTTGTTGTCCAATGTCAGGAGAATTTTCACTTGTAAACTTCAAAGCTCTCTATAGCTGGCTGGTAACTGGTGCCGTCTTGAGTCCCTCTTCTTGATGTTAAATGCATTCTGCTCCTTGATGTTGATTTGCCTTGTCCCCTTACTGTCAAAAAGTTTTCTTCACTTCGACCACTGACCTGATCCCTATTTGTTTGGAAAAAAAATAGCTCACAGAAGACTCCTACCAAATTTTCAATGGGGCATGAGACCACGGCTCTCATTGGCCACAAAATACGAAAAGAAAACAATTTTCCATAAACTTGAAATGGATCCGTCACAATTTAGCCGGTTTTTAACCTTCTTTCTTTTCTTTTTTATGTGCCATGTCCTTTCAGGACGTAGGCGATCATGGCTCTCCACCTTTCCTCTATCCCTTGCAGATCTCAACAAGTTTCTTCCCTCTGCTTCCTCCCCCAGATGACGTTATGTCATCCACTTGCTTAAACCCGTGTGTCACGCATTGTTTTTCCTTGTCTCTCTTTTCCTCTATTCGACCCGTGAGTATCAGATTCTCCACGCCCTCCTTCCTCATTACGTGTCCCAGAAACTTCAGCTGCCTCTTCCTGATATCAAGTATAAGCCTCCTCCTTCTTTGCGACCTAAGATCTCATCATTGTTCACACGCTCGGTCTATGATATCCTTAGCATCCTTCTGTAGAACTACATCTCTGTCGCCTCGAGTCTTTTCTTCATCTTTGAGGAAATCGTCCAATATTCTCTGCTGTACAGATGTCACTTGAGCCGAAAAAGATATAAAAGTTTAACAATTTTTTTACACAAACCGTCTAACCATCATACAAATACACTTCTCTCAAAAGAACGTGTACTAAAAAAACAACCTAGACGATTAAACATTTATTATTCAAGGCGAATATTTTTAAAGTAGTAAAAATTTAATTTTTATTATTTTCCTTGTATTCTTATTTTTATTTTTCTCTTTCACAGCTGACGTCAGTCTCTTGGAGGATGCACTGCAGAAACTTGACTCATTGGTCAAATGAAAAGAAGATAAAGTCACTGAGAATCTTGACGAAAAAAAACAAAAAACAAGACATATGATAACGATAGTGAAGTTTGTGTTGTTATTGGGAAGGTTTCTGCTTTTAATTAAACCTATTTTTATTTAGTACGATAAAGTCCATTCGTATTTTATTATACAAGAAAACTTAGCAGAAAATAAAGAAATTAATCAATGAGTAATAATGGATTTCTATTCCACTCAAAACTTGTGTAGAGTCTCAAGTTCTCATCATTAATAACAACATCGTTGTTTGTTTGTTTCCAGAAAAAAAAGTTATAGACGTATCAATAAAGCAGACGATTTCCGGGATGTTTAATTACCAAGTTCCGGTAGAATTGCATATTAAACACTGCGACCATAAACAATAATTTTCTCAAATTTCTTTTTCATATTACTATAAATAGTTAAAAGGAGGTCCAGTTTGCTATGTAAATTCGTTGTAAATTGATCCCCACACCCTATGGAATCCAAAGCAAAATATGTTATATTACGAATTGATTTCTTAAAATGAAAAAGAAAAAGGTTGAAATTCTGTAATTTTAATTGTAATTTGAATTGCTTAAGCGATATTACGACGACGACGACATTATCAATGAGAATTACACTTCATATGGTGAATTCTAGCTCGATCGCTCAAGATTTAAAGGAACATTCCTGTCCACATTCACGATTTAGAGAAATATTAATCGACACTACAAGTACACTCCACCACGAAAATAAAAAACAAAAACTTCAAATTTTGAAAGCTCTTTAAAAAAAATTACGACCGACAATAAAATTATGAGCATAGTAACAAAGTTCTAAATTTTTTATAACAATAAAGTTTAAAATGTCTAAATTGTAATTGTTAAAAAACTACAATTGTAACAGTTTTTTTTGTTTTTTTTTAAAGACGTAATTACAATTTTAATAAAGACTTTTTTACAACATAAATTAAGTTACCTCCCTTTCATAGCGGTAAAAAAATTGAAACAACTGAGCGCGTTCATCAATTATGCACAATATTTATAATTATCAAATACAATTCTTTGTCTTGGCAATTCACAGCTGAAGATGAACTTGGATGAGATTGAAACTACTTAGGAAAATACAAAAAACCATATGGATCAGTTCTGTACTAACACTAAGAAATTAATTCGTGAATTTGAGAGGATTAAAAAAAATAAAATAAAAATAGACATATAATAAGGCTAGATTCAACCAAATATGCTTGAATGAAGACATGCTGCCAATATATATATATATATATATATATATATATATATATATATATATGAATTTTTGTTTTTTGCACTTTAAAAAATTACGTCGTATATAAGCATATTTGCTTGGGCTTCCGTGACGAAGGAATTAGTTTACATTACAATAAATATAATCTACACCTCTTATTAACTTTTAGTTTTATAGAATTTAATTTAAAAAATGATGATCGTGACCTGGAGTATTATTTAGCATAATATGAAAATAAATTTGAAGAAAGAATTATTATTTCTATTGTACAAGTAATGAAACTGACACAATTTAACTTTGCACGGAACGAACGCGCAAGATAGTTTTTTTTTGTTTTTTTTTTGTTTTTTTACTTGTTTGTTTTTTGTACAAAAATCACTTTTCTAAAAAGCAGACCTTAAAGCAATCAGTCACCTTCCTATTCAGAACTCTTTAACAAAAAATATCCAAGCACTGACATGATTTTATTCACTATCTTATCATAATATTCGTCACATTTAAAAACATGTTATTTTTTTAGTCATGCGTTTATATTTACAAATATAGAAAACTACTGTACTGGAATAAGTAAAGTTTTCCCAGTTAAATTTTCTTCTCTCAGTTTAAAAAAAAAAAACTGATTGAAAATTTCTCGCCAATTCTTCATTCTTATAAACCAATATAAATCTGTTGGTAAACATGGTGGTATTAGAATTTGACCATAAGAGCCGATGACATCGAGTTACTTCGGCACACAGTATTGAATAAACGTGTCGTGGGCTATATTTTAAAGCTTCAAGAATATTTCATACGCTTGGGATTACGAACGCCATAGCAGCAAAATATTTGTTCTTCGGAAATATCGTTTTCATTATTAAAAACAAAACAAAAAAGCGGGCTGCTAACATTTTTATTCAAATAATGTTTTTAATATTTTCATTTTTATTTTCTTTCTAATGTCTTCTTCAATGGAGAAATAAAAAAGATACTTTTTAATCCAGTTGTGCATTTATTATTTGAGTCAAAGTTTCAATCGTTATCTATCCTCCTTATCCTTGTAATCTTCATTTCATCTTATATTCATATCACACATTTTATTCAATATTCCTCTACATTGAAGGGCTCTCGAGCCTTTGTAATAGGTGAAATTTTGGTTAATTTGCATTTTGCAGTATAAGCACTAAAAGGCCACAGTTATGAAAATGTTCCATTATGGTGTGAAATTGCCAGATTATTTCGAAAATGACAATAAAAGTTTGCGCTCGACTACCGTTTAGGATTTATCGACAATGTAAGTTCGATCTCTTTGACGTTGTCCGACCGCCATTACTGGAGTTGTTTACATACGTTTGCCCCGATCAGTAATGTGCGGAAGCTTACTTAATTAACAGCCCTTTCACTGCTTTTTGCATCTTCGTACTAGTCTTGATTACTACGCAATTTTCGCGAAAGTTAATTTAAAATGCGCTTTCTTTTTTTAAAATGAAGCTTTAAATGAATAGTTTTTATTAAATTGGTATATATTCCCTTTTCCGATTAAAAATATTGTTTCTTTGTAGATGTGAAACTTTAAATAATTTTTTTTTATTAAATTGGTTTAAATTTGTTATAGAAAATATAACATTAACAATATCAAAGGTGAAGCCTTTTTCCAAAACAAAAACATCGTTGAAAAAAAGGAAAACATCATTTTTTTTTTTTTTACCTTTTCCAGGCACGTAATTTCTAATTTATTTTAATTGACGGATTTTAAGGAAATTTTTACGACACAAAAAAAAACAAAAAAAAAAACACCGTGTTGAAAAAAAAGGAAAACCTTATTTTTTCATCCTTTCCGGCACATAATTTTGATTTCATTTTTCGAATTTTTCATTTTTCGACTTTTTCATTTTTACTGCTATATTTGGAATCGCGCATTCATTTTAAACTTTGCGCATTGTGCCGTAATCAAGACAAGCAAAGCGTCTCCTGACTATTCAAGGCAAACGTATATAAACAAATCCAGTAATGGCAGCCGTTCTATCGACGCGACGCGAAAGAAGTCGAACTTACATTGTTCATAACTCCTAAACAGTAATAGAGCGCTAATTTTTAATGTCATTTTCGAAATAATCAGGCAATTTCACACCATATAACAGAACATTTTCATTACCGTGAGCTTTTAGTGATTATACTGCAAATTAACTGAAATTTTTAGTAAAATTAAAAACGTTTGATTTTCAGTGAGTCAATCAACATCTTATCGCTTAATTATAATTAATCTTAATTAATCTAGTTAAAATGAATATTTATCAAACTGCATATTAAAAATTCACCTACTTAAAAAAAATTTTTTTTAAATTTATAAAGTATATCTCCACTAAAAATAAATATAATATTTAAGAACTTTCTTAAATGCTGCCAAAGGAGAGTGTTAAGTTCGATATCAAATCATTTTCTATTTATAGAATTTATATTTTAATCATTCGCAAATAAATGAATAAGGGGACAATACTCTGTAACTAGTAATTAAATTTCATATATATTGTTGACCACTGACTATTCGAACACAACAAAATTGGTGAAACGGCCGACTACTGAACACATCTACAAAATTAATAACTTCTGTATGGGGAAAAAGACAGTGAGAAAGAGTGTAAAAAGAAATAATCTTCAAACACAGTTCTATAAATTTTAATTATTTTATTATTGAGTACGGAAATAATCTTTGTTTTCTTTAAGTTGAAAGAAATAAGTTATAAAATTCCTCACAAAGTTCGTACGAAAATTTTTTTTGATTTTCTTTTTACAACACAAAAGAAATGAATTGTGTTAGGATACAGCGAAAAGTATATGTGAATTTTTAATGCGAAAATTCAAGATATCTATGCGTATGATATGGTTCCAGCATTCGGCTGATAATAATTGTATTACTACTGCTGGTACACTTACGCTTTGTTTATATATCTCACTGTAATTTAAACAATGCAAACTGATTTATGAAAATATCTCAAAAGCGAGAAGTAATTTGCAAGAAGGAACTTAACACTCAATAAATGGATTTGAGTATGCGAAAATTTGAGAATTCAGAATTGTTCACAATCATAAAGCACTGAAGACTGAAGAATATTAAATTAAGTTACACTATCCATAAGAAAAAATCGGATTACAAGAAGTTCAATGTTAGATTTACTAAACTCAGAAGTTTTATTGGTTAATAAATAAATTTACCAATTTTTAATTTTGATTTTTAGGAGGGAAAAAGATCGTTAATCATTTTCTGGTTGTTATCCTTCAAATCTTTTTAGCAAAGGACAATAATGTTGTCTGCTTTTTGAAAGCAAAAAATGGCATTTGAAACAACGTCTCTGATTGGTTAATAAATGCTAATGTGGGAATTTAAATTTGAAGTTCGTGCGATCCAATTTTTGCACAGTATTGAGATGATGACTATATGATCCTACTTTTGCAAATTATTTCGTTTAACGGCCTGCACACTCGAGAAAACCTACTAAAGAAAATGCACGCTCCGGAATAAAATACCTTTTAAAATAAGTAGAGGGTCTACTCAAATACGGGTATCCACTAAAATAACTTGTAAAATAACAAACACACACACACACGCAAAAAGGCTGAAACACTAATATTCCATGGTTATAATTTATTACATTGGAATCGTAATCACGATCCAATTCATCAGACATACAAATTCAAAAGAGAGGGTGTAACGGAAGAAAGAAGAACAGGAAAGCCAAAAGGTAAAGAGGTGGGGATTAAAATTTAACAGAGAGA